GCCTGCCTTTACACGCCTACCTGTTTACAGCTATGACCGCTTTAACTCTTCTGGGAAGGCTGTCCACAAGGTTTAGGAGTGTGTCTATGAGAATGATTGGCATTCTTCCAGAAGAGCATTTGTGAGATCAGGCACTGATTTCGGATGAGAAGGCCTGGCTCGCAGTGTCCGCACTAATTCATCCCAAAGGTTTTCTGTCGGGTTGAGGTCAGAACTCTCTGCAGGCCAGTAAAGTTCCTCCACCCCAAACTCACTCATGCATGTCTTTATGGACCTTACTTTGTGCACTGGTGCGCAATCATGTTGGAAAAGGAAGGGGCCATCCCCAAACTGTTCCCACAAAGTTGAGAGCATGAAATTATACAAAATGTCTTGGTATGCTGACGCCTTAAGAGTTCCCTTCACTGGAACTAGGGGGCCAAGCCCAACCCCCGAAAAACAACCCCAGACCATAATCCCCCTCTACCAAACTTTACACTTGGGACAATGCAGTCAGGCAAGTCCCTTTCTCTTGGCAACCGCCAAACCCAGACAAGGCCATCGGATTGCCAGACAGAGAAGTGTGATTCGTCACTCCAGAGAACATGTCTCCACTGCTCTAGAGTCCAGTGGCAGCATGCTTTACACCACTTCATCCAACGCTTTGCATTGCACTTGGTCTTGTAAGGGATTTCTGGCAAGAAGAATCGCAATCGGGAACGCGCATGCGCAAAAGAGATCCCACAGAAGAATTACCGGTTGTGCGCCGGAATGCGCGATCGCGCACACGTGCACACGCACGGTGAGGATTGGCGCCAGACGGGCTATTTAAGGAGGGCCTCTGCTCAGGTTCAGTGCTGACTGGTCTTCAGCTCCCCCCGTGTCCTGCTTGCTCCTGTACGATTCCTTTGTTGCTGACCTGGCTTGTTCCTGACCCTTGACTGACCCGACTCCGATTACTCTCCTGCTCCTGGTTCCTGACTTCGGCTCTGCTCCTGACTTTGGCTTTTCCTTCTGATTCTGTACCGTTCTGCCCAACTGTTGATGACCCCGGCTATCCTATGACTCTGCTCCTGTCTTGTGTCCTGGCTACCTACCTTGCTGTGCTGCACATTGGGCAATCCACAGAACCTGCTCTGTCTAGTATTATGGTGCCCAAATCAGAGGATACTCTGCCTACCAAGGGCATCACCTGCAAGAGCCGCAAGCAACAACCACTGGCGCTCTTGTCCCCCTGGTCCCTAGACTCCCTCTGTTCCAACCTCAGCGGGGTCAGGGCTAGTGACACAAGTAAGGCCGACCTCGTCAATTCAGTCTCCCATCAGGTACGTAACACATCTGCTCTGCTGTGAAAACCCATTCCATGAAGCTGTTTACGCACTGTTGTTGTGCTAATTTGAAGGCCACATGAAGTTTGGAGGTCTTTAGCTATTGACTCTGCAGACAGTTGGCGACTTCTGCATGCTTCAGCATGCACTGACCCTGCTCTGTCATTTTATGTGACCTACCATTTTGTGGATGAGTTGCTGTTGTTCCCAATTGCTTTCACTTTGTTATTATTTTCTGGCACATGGAGTTCACCAGAGCCTTAACTCCTCCTCACATGAGCTGGTGGATGTTAGATACCTTGCACTCCTCCACCTTCCGTATGAGGATGCCCCACAGATGCTCAGTAGGGTTTAGGTCTGGAGACATGCTTGGCCATTCCACCTTTTACCCTCAGCTTCTTTAGCAAGGCAGTGGTCATCTTGGAGGTGTTTTTGGGGTTGTTATTATGTTGGAATACTGCCGTGCGGCCCAGTCTCCGAAGGGAAGGGATCATGCTTTGCTTCAGTATGTCACAGTACATGTTGGCATTCATGGTTCCCTCAATGAACTGTAGCTCCCCAGTGCCGGAAGCACTCGTGAAGCCCCAGACCATGACACTCCCACCATCATGCTTGACTGTCGGAAAGACACACTTGTCTTTGTACTCACCTGGTTGCCCGCCCCACATGCTTGACACTATCTGAATCAAATAAGTTTATCTTGGTCTCATCAGACCACAGGACATGGTTCCAGTAATCCATGTCCTTAGTCTGCTTGTCTTCAGCAAACTGTTTGCGGGCTTTCTTGTACATCATCTTTAGAAGAGGCTTCCTTCTTGGACAAGAGCCATGCAGACCAGTTTGATGCAGTGTGCACTGACAGGCTGACCCCCCCCCACCCCTTCAACCTCTGCAGCAATGCTGGCAGCACTCATACATCTATTTCCTAAAGACAACCTCTGGTTATGACGCTGAGCACATGCACTCCACTTCTTTGGTCGACCATGGCGAGGCCTGTTCTCAGTGGAACCTGTCTTGTTAAACCACTGTATGGTCTTGGCCACCGTGCTGCAGCTCAGTTTTAGGGTCTTGGCAATCTTCTTATAGCTTAGGCCGGCTTTATGTAGAGCAACAATTCTTTTTTTTTAGTTCTTTGCCATGATGTGCCATGTTGAACTTTTAGTGTCCAGTATGAGGGAGTGAGAGCGAAAACACCAAATTTAACACACCTGATCCCCATTCACACCTGAGACCTTGTAACACTAACGAGTCACATGACACCGTGGAGGGAAAATGGGTAATTCTGCCCAATTTGGTAATTTTCATGTAGGTGTGTACTGACTTTTGTTGCCAGCGGTTTAGACATTAATGGCTGTGTGTTGAGTTATTTTGAGGGGACAGCAAATTTACACTGTTATACAAGCTGTACACTCACTACTTTACATTGTAGCAAAGTGTCATTTCTTCAGTGTTGTCACATGAAAAGATATAAAATATATACAAAAATGTGAGGGGTGTACTCACTTCTGTGAGATACTGTTCTTAAAGGATACGTTCAGCTTTACAAATATAATAAAAAATGCACGTTTGTTTGCAGTTAAAAAATATGCGTTTTTTTTATGTTCTTAGGTAAATTATTGCACCAGCAATCAGCAGATCATGGGTGTAATGCCACAGTCCTGCAGACTATTTGTGTAGGTGTCTGCTCATGCCTCCGATGTGGTCAGGCAGTTACACAATGACAGGAAGCTTAATCGACTACCTAGACAGCCTTCCCAACAGCGCCCTGGTAGTTCATTGAGAACTATAAGCTGACCGCCTCAAAGGCTACTGGAACTTGTAGTTTTCCTATTCACAGTATACTGTGAATGAATGATGTGGGTGTAGCCACGCACGGCTGCCCTTTTTTCATATTGTGACAGCCAGCGGGAAGGGGGGGGGGAAGCGAAGGCTGGGGCATCTAATGCATGTTACACCCTAAATTTCCTTGTAACGTTAGAAAAGATGAACTCATCCTTTTTAATTATAGCTTTGATTATGGAACTGTGATCAAAGTGGAATTCTGTAAAAATATTTTTGCATAGTTATTTTGGTCCAGTTTGGGCCAGTGTAAGTATGCATATTCTATTCCTGGCTGATCCATGTGGAAAGGGAGAATCACATTATTAGCCATTGCTACTGCAGTCAGCATCATTATCTTCTGGACTTTGTGCTGAGCAGCATGCTCTGCTGCATAGTAACCACAGGGGGTTGCTTGTTCTGCTTGAGTGCCATTCTTAGACGTTTTGCATTTTCTCAATGAATGTAAGGTGTGTTTTGATTAGACAAGGTGGAGCGGTGACATCCCAATCTCCACCTCATCCAATCACATAATGCCTTACATCCATTAAGAAAATTTCAGGATGCTTTCTGAATGGTGCCCCCTTTTTTTTTTTTTTTTTTTTTTTTTCCAGTTAACCACTTAAGCTCCGGAACGTTTTACCCCCTTCCTGACCAGGGCATTTTTTTGCTATTTGGCACCATGCTACTTTAACTGGCAAATGCGCGGTCATGCAACACTGTACCCCCATGAAATTTATATAATTTTTTTACACTAATAGAACTTTCTTTTGGTGGTATTTGATCACCACTGGGTTTTATATTTTTTATCATATAAACAAAAAATATTTTCTCTTCTAAAACCAACCCTATGAAAAAATCAAATTTCTTCATAAATTTGGACCAAAATCTATTCTGCAACATGTCTATGGTAAAAAAAATCCCAATAAGTGGTGTATATTAATTGGTTTGTGCACATTACTATAGTGTCTACAAACAATGGTATATATACTGAAATTTTTATTTATTATTTTTGTTATTCTAGTAATGGCAATTAGCATCTTATAGTTGGGACTGTGATAGTGCTGCGGGCAATCTGACAGTAACTGACACTGAGTGGGAACTGACACTGACATCACCAGTGACACTAATACAGTGATCAGTACTGATACTATATACTTTCACTTTACTAATGACACTGGCTGGGAAGGGGTTAACATCTAGGGGCAATCAAAGGGTTAACTGTGTGCGTAACAATGTGTAATGTGTGTAATATATCCTGCTAAGTGATGTGAGAAAAAAAACTCCACATCGCTGCTGTCTGTACAAAGCCCTGTGTTGTTTGTTAGCACAGGGCTCTGTACTGTCATTCGCTTAGCTGATCAGTAGGTCCCAGTGATAAATCATTGGCTGGGACCTGCTGCCTGACTTGTGCTGTAGCGAATGACAGCACAGGTTGAGTGTTGGGCGCAAATGCTGAATCATGTACGTGGTCCCGTGCAGCAGGGCTGTAGTGGGTGGTCCAGAAGTGACTAAAAGGTTCTCTATCCTGAACGTTTATATGATTTTTTTTTTTTTATTCACAGTATCTTTACATGAAATTGTACTAGAAACATTAACACCCCTTACCATGTAGTAAAAATAACACCTTTTTTTGTTTTCTTTCATTGTGTTTTTAATGTTCCAAATATTTATAGCAATGCTGGATCTAAACTTGTTTATCACAATATCTCAATTTAAGTGTAAGTCTTCTTGCGGTCATTTAATTTTGAAACAGTAGTTATTTTGAAAAGCTTTCACTTTCTCTTTGATTGCACATTTTCTCTCAAAACATTTAATTTTGAAGCAGTTTGAAGAGAGACATTTTCTTTTATCCATACTGCATTAATTTTACAGAACAAAAGATCGAAGTTGCGTGAACAAGTTTTGGAGTCTGACCTTACTTGGAAGAAAATAACTCAATTTGTCACTGGCATTGTGGACAAGGAGCATGAAGCAATAAACGAGGGTCTAAAAGAAATATTACAGGCTGCAAAACAGATTGGTAAATTACTTTTTGTTAAAGACAAATTCTTTAAATTCATGATGTGCTGTGAATTCAACTTGGTAATTTTTCACCTGGCTAGTCTGGATAGAGGAGAATCTCACTTGATTGTTTTGCAGCAAGTGAATTTCAATCTTCTGATCTCTGGTTCAATAATTCAGACTTAAATATTTACATAAGGGTGACTTTGGGGTTGTAATTCTCCTAGGTTGTCATTTTTATTGTAGTGCTTGTGATTTGGAGTGAAAGGTTTAAGCTATTACAGGGGAGATGGCACACATTTATTTACAGGCAGTTTAAATCATAAACACACACAGAATGGCAAAATGATTGCTTTCTTCTCTTGCAGTGGGAACTGACCATGGACATGAGGCAATTGAAAGTGCAGCCATGTTCCTCTTCAAGACTTTCTATGATAAAGAAACTGTCGGTCACGAAGAAACCAAGGCCATCAAACAGATGTTTGGTCCTTTTCCATCAACATGTGCTACAGTAGCATGTAATGCCACATATAGAATTGTGTCACTGCTGACTGATGAACAGCTTAAGAAACTCTCACAACATTTTCATGAGAAAAACATCGACGATACAGCATTCTTTGGGAAAAATGTCATATTTTCTGTGGAAATGTATGAGCTTGAAGAGACCGGAGATTTGCCACTAAATGGCAGCATTGAGGCAGATAATGATATTAGTCTAGACTTCCTAAAATTTCATAATGGCCAAAAAGACCATTTTAAAGGCATATCTGCTATCAGCGCTCAACAAAAACCTGGCAGTAATGAAGATGAAGGCTCTTTACTGTATGATGAGGTGGAGAGATATGTTGTGCAGAGTTCCACTGGAGGTGCCACAGTAGAAGACTTGTGCAACACTATATTTGAAATGCTGGCATCTGCTAAAAGCAATGATGAACTTCAGAATGAGGTGTGTCAATTTTGGCTCATTTTTTAAAATATTTTCAGGTGAATTTATAGTTTGAAGTGTGATTGCATGCATATAACCACAAGACAATGGAAACCTTGTATCAAGGGTTGCCCTCTGTGGGTTTGACATTGGGCAAGATTATTGCTTTGTGCAGCGTGGTCCCTTCATTGTATAATCAGTGTGCATTAGAAATGAAAGGCTCCAAATAAGACAGTGAATGGGATAAAAATAGAATTGGTGGAACAGTACTGCTACCTCAGGGGTCATATAATGTCAAATTTGTAATTTGAATGTGTAGTAGCATTTTCCTTCTTTATTATGGCTAGAATCAAAAACCAAATGCCAGAGCATTAGGCAATGATCTCTGCTCAGGTTTCCAAACTTTCGATAGAGCAGGCTATTAAATGCATATCTCAAAAACAAAAATCAGAGCTTGCTACTTTTTAGTTTTTTTTTTTATTTTCAGGCATTTTTTTTTTCCTTTTTATGTTCACCTTGTAATCTTGTGAATAACATACATCCTTGCTCACAGATGGCTACGCTCACTTGCTCCACTGTATCTATAATGGAAGCAATGGTTGTCACACTAGCCTGCTTTCCCAATTTACACTACATACATCTCTTCCTATCTTCATCTCCATTACATTGGGGGAGATGGAATTTTTAGTCTACAGAAGATAACTTGGAAGTAAGATCACATTATTTGTGATTTCAGTTAAGTTCATAGGAAGTGACAAGGCCTTTCTTTCAAGATAACCATGCATTGTCTGTACTGGCTGAAAATGTCCCTAGCATGAAAATAAAAAACAAACGCAGCCATCACAACTACTCATAAAGTACTGGTAAACTGCAATATTTTAATTTTTTGTTCTTGGTTTATTACGCTTTTATTCACAGTGCCCGAATTCTTCTCCTGTCCTTTAGCATGGATCAGTTGACCACTGGTTTGGTCACATAACTTATGCCAGAGGCAGCCTGAAACTCCACAGTTCTGCAGGAAATATAAGTTCTTATATTTAAGAGTTTTTAAAATAGATTTACTTTTTTAAATCTTTTGTTCAGACAGTGGTCAATGTTGCTACCTTTCCTGGTGTTCCAGTGAAAACTTAATTTTTTGTGTGTGCATGTTTCAGAAGCATTATGATCTTGGTGATGGATACCTTTGTTCCTAATGTGCGTGCATTTTCTTAGTTTTCTTATGACCTTTTAATACAGTAACATATGTACAACCATTCTGCATCTCTCTGTTAGTACTTATACATGGGTATTCTTTTGACGTAAAGTGGTCCTTTCATGGGTATTCTTTTGACAAAAAGTCAACTTTTTTTCTATTTTAGTAACACTCTAGTTGTGTTTAAATGTGTCTAAGTGGTATCTTGAAAATGTTCTCTTTTATCCTGTTACATTTTCATCCTGAAAGCTCAGTGCAGTGGCAGTGTGCTTCTTGCTTATAGCTGTAAGTCTGCAGTGGGAGATCTTAAAGTGATTGTAATTTTTTTTTTTTTTTTTTTTAAATTAAAATAAAAAAGAAGTTATTCTTACCTGCTTTGTGCAATGGTATTGCACAAAGCGTTTGCATACCTCCTCTTCTGGGGTCTCCTGCTGCCACTGTCAGTTCCTCCTATTCTCTGAGTACTCCCTCAGCAGGCTGTGTGTTGTAGGGGCACTCGTGTGTGCGCGCTCTTGAGCCAGGCTGTGTGTGTCCATAGACATACGCAGCACGACTCTGCCTCGCCCATTCCTCACAGGATTTGATTGATGACAGCAGGAGCCAAAGTGTTTGGGGTGGTGGAGACACAGACTGTGAGGTAGTTTTTAAACCTTGATGCAGAAATTGATTTAAGGTTAAAAAAAAAAAAAAAACCTTGGGAGTTTAGGACCATTTTTGCTACCTCTCAGGAGATTTAGAGTGTGATTCGTCATTACTGTTTTGTCTACTGTTGTTCTTACCGGAGGCTATTACATGAGGATGCAAAGCCGTGCCTCTACCAAGATGTCTAGCTCCACACAGAGAGACCGTGCAGAACAAGGCATGGTAAGTCAGTAATGGGGGAACAGTCAGTTATGGGTAGACAGTCAGTCACTACTGGTTACTAGTTTTTTGCCCTCTGCCTGTAATTTTTTTTGGCACAGTTTCCAGAGTTCAGTTTCTGTGTGGTAGTTGTTTATAGTAAAGGCAATGTCCACATTTTTCAAAAAGAAGAAAACAGATGCACCCATAACTGCAGGAAAAAAATATACATTTATTTTTTGCATATCAGCCTGCACAGCATAGCAACCACAATCAGTGGATCGCGGGTGCATTGCACAGGCTCCTGCACACTCTTCCTCCAGCTCCCTGTCTAAATGGAGGTACGGACTTTCAGATACGGAGCAGGAGGAAGTGTTAATGGGCTACAAGTGCTGTAATCACCGCACTTGTGTTCCATTGAAAACTGCAAGTTCCTCCTCCATGGTGGCAGATGTGGTGGTTTATGTAAGAATTTATTCTACTTATAAAGGGCGGTGTCCCTTTCCCTTAAACAAAATATCGCAGTGCCTCCAGCCGTTAAAATACGGCAAATATTTAATGAACCAATAATTTGGACACCTTAATAATTTGATCACCACTTATTAATATACCTTGAGTCCTTTTAGACAGTATGATTTCGTACCATACACACAAAAATTGCCTTATAATAAATAAATAGATAAATTTATTTATGTACAAAAAATTATATATATATTAACACAAAACGCAAAAGACTGGTAATAAATGGATACTGGTACACACGATCAAAGATATACTATACCAATACTATACACCAAACAATGATAATAAAGATTAAAATTAAATTTAGTAATAAATGGTAATTTAGAGTACTTCAGAGGTCATTTCTCCCAAAACGTGGCCATAGAAATGGGAGAAAATATTCCCTGATAAATTGTACTCTAACCAATAAAAATTAATTAATTATGCAATATGTAAATTCTCAATATGACACCAAACAATTTTTAGCAGTAATAATATGGATCTCTCTATCTATATATGAACACCCAATGCAGTTATCACCCCAATGCAATTATTATCACTCTATACAAGAGAGGAGATAAACAATACAATATTAATTCTAAACAGTCTCACCACACCCAGAACCTGGATTATGACGCCTCCCCAGTGGATTCAGCTGGCAATTGAAACGCCTTCAGGAATGGGCACAGGGAGCAAGTGAGAGATGGTAGGTGGTAGTGTTGAAAAAATGTAGGATGGTAGAAGTACAGAGATTGAGAAATTTAGTAGAAGTTTTTAAAAGTTTGAAAGGATTAAGTAGTAGTTCTTCAGATAGGATAGATTTCAGCCTCATCAGATTTCTTAAGTTTGTCGGTTTCCTTGGTTTTTTTTTCTGTGTTTTCTTAGCTTGTTTTTCTAAATGAGGTGCATGGCTTTTTATACCATCCAAACCATTGTTCTAAAAGACCCTCCAAACAGGCTTTTTGATTGGCCGGTCGAGAGGTGTATGTACCCAAGATATCTCTCACCTGTCCACTGGGGGGCAGTCAGGGATCACAAAACAATTTGAGTATTTATGATGACTCATACCTCGGGTGGAAACCAAGGTGATTTTAGATATTAAATATACATCTCATCCAAATATATTTGATTCTACCTATAATGTTCTGGATAGGAACCATAGAAGATATATGTGTATTCAGTTATTCATTTCCCTGAGGTTCAAACTTGTGTGAAACATTTGCTTTCTGATGAAAACATACAACTGATACCAATTCACAAAATATCTTACTTTTCACCATTTCATACTTAATTTAGTGGTATGCAATCCCCAACTCTGCTGAATATATTTTTGTTTGAAAAAGAGTGTGAATAATGTGTCTCTTCTTTAATGTCTTTGTGGGTAGAAATATAAGTTCTAAGTTTCACCTTTTGGTCTTAGGAATGACACAGGAAACCTCTGTTTACTTGTCCATTGTTAAGATAATAGGGTAAACAACCAGTTATCCTTGTAGCCTTCCTTTGAGAAGTCTGTTGGATTATCACTCTCCCCAAGGTTTTGTTTAATCTTCTCAGACTTATAAGTATCGTCTCACTATTAATTTGGTCAGGTGTGGTGACTCACTGTTTGGAAGTCCAACGTTGTATTTGACTTTATAATTAGCTTTTTGTAGGTGAAATCTCCTCAACTCCAATAGACAAATGGCAATTTGTTGAGCAAACATACTTTGCCAGTCTTAGAGTCACCAACATAAGCTCTCACCATTGTCTCTCTTCTGGCCCTGTTTGACGACTTGTAGAAATTCAAATAACCTATTGTCTCTGGAACAGGTTCCTTCCACTCATTGTGGGTGTAATTTCACTAGAAGGTCATTTGAATTCTAACCAAGAAAGTTTAACCCTTAACAGACGGCTGGGCTTGTTGCTGTTGGAATGAAATTATATTTTTGATAAATAGTCCCCCAAAAGTCACTACACAGAAGGGACTTGTAGTTTATTCATTCATAGATCTCTGTAAATGACGTGGCTGTGCTGGCACACAAAATGTACAAAGTGACAGAAGCCTCCAGAGAGAAAAGCCCTGTGGTCCTGTAAGGGGAAGGGGTGAGGATGAGTGCATGGCTACATGTTTTATGTTATACCCTAAATATGGATGTTACATAATATAAAATATGGACTTCGCCATTAATTGCGTCACGTTTTGCGTTCATATATACAGTATATACGTTCTGGATTGGAAACAGTTAAGTTATATCAGGAAAATGTCTGCAGCTGCATCCAT